GGCTCCCAGTAGCCTGAAACCCTAAAAACCGCAAAGCCCAGAGCATCTTGATTTATACCTCCCAGTTTCCCCCTAAACCCTAAACCCTAAACCCTAAACCCTAAACCCTAAACCCTAAACCCTAAACCCTACACCCTAAACCCTAAACCCTAAACCCTAAACCCTAAACCCTAAACCCTAAACCCTAAACCCTAAACCAGCAGCCGGGAGGCCGCGTTTCGCAGCCCAAGCCCGACACCGACGCTCTTGGGACGCTCAGGAGCTGCGGCCATACAGCTTAGCGCTGATGCCTCCCAGGCAGAAGGACAAGGGACCAAAGGAGGGTTTAGGGTTTAGGGTTTAGGGTTTAGGGTTTAGGGTTTAGGGTGGACCCTTATAAGGGACCTTAGGGGTCATTTGGTGTCATTTGGGGCTACTTAAGTACCCCTTAAGAAGGACACCCGATTTGTGAAAAGGCATCAGGATTTAGGGCTTAGGGTCCGGGATTTCGGGTTTGGGGTTTAGGATTCACATTTGCCGTGAGTTTTCTGTATGTTGAAGGGATGAGATTCAAGAATGTTCCCAAGAACTTCCACATCCCTGGTTGGTGCCAGAACTTCTCGAGTTCAGCTTAGGATCCTACTATATTCCCTTATTGCAGTTTTGGAAGTTCAAGGAGATATGCGCCAAGCATGAGAACATATAACGAATCACCCACGTGGGGAGTTACCAGGTGGGTTCATAGGCCTGAGGGGTTTAGGGCTTCGGGGTGAAGGCTTGCATGGGGGATAGAAAGTCTAAAGCCTAAACCGTAGACGTTGCGTTCTTACTGACCCTATGGATCAGGGGCTATATAGGGTTTTGCTTTCCCACAAAGGTGAACATGTCTCTTGCTCTACTCCGCTCCCTTCTCAGGAGTTGAGCAAGCAAACCGGTCGGATAATTTGAGCCCAGCAAGACCCGAAACCCTAAACGCACTAAACCACAAATCCAGTCTTATGAATAAATAAATACATATATATATATATATTAGTATAAATAAATATGTGAACATACATATATAGGTCTTTATTGTAGGGGCGTACTCATTCACTCACTTCTTACTACGCCCTGAATATCCCTTAATCAGATTCTATTGCTAGTCATCTTTTGCTCACCCGGTGTGCTCTCAAGCACAGTTACGATGTCCACTGGACTTCGGTTGTGTGAGGGCTGGTGGCCGGTGGGTCGTTTTGGACCCTTAAGCTCTAAAGCCTAGAAGCCTGTTTCCTAAATCCTAAACCTTATCGTCTCAACCCTAATCCCCTACACCATTGCAACTGGAACGGGGCGGGGCAGAACCGCAAACCCTGGGTTTAGAGTTTATCTCGGGCTTGGGGTTGAACCTTGAACAACAGCCGACGGCAGGCACCAAAAAATGTGTTCACAGGCATGGCGCTACTTGGCTACGCCGATAGCAAGGGGTGGGAGGAGGAGTTGGCGCTACTTGCCTACGCTGATAGCAGCGGGGGTGGTGTGACTTTGACTTCTGCATGTTGTGGGATTTTTTGGGCGGGTGGGGCTTTGTGTCGACACCAAGAACCGCTCGGCCAGAAACGTCCCGGACTGGAGCGGCGAATGCTGCAAGCCCAAAAACCCTAAAACCCTACACCCAGCCCCTTCGGGCTCCGGTTTTTTGTTTGGCCCTAAACCTTAAACCCTAAACCCTAAACCCCAAACCCTAAACCCGAAATCCTAAACCCTAAGCCGGGCATCTCAGGGTGACGCTGCCTTCGGTCTGCTGGGTGTCCTGGCCTGCGGCGATGCTCCTCAAGGCAGGAGGTGCTCCAGGGGGGGAGGAGGTTTGGGGTTTAGGGCTTAGGGCTTAGGGCTTAGGGTTTAGGGTTTCGGGTTTAGGGGTTTCGGGTTAAGGGTTTCGGGTTTAAGCGTTTAGGGTTTTAGGGTTTAGGGTTTCGGGTTTGGGGTTTAGGGGTTTAGAGTTAAGGGTCCCTCAATCTGGGTCGGCTTAGGGAGGCCCCACAACAATGGATTGAAGCTTTTCTGGGTTTTGTGAAGTCATATATGGGATATAGGCCCATAGAACTGAAGCCTTTCCAAACCCCGACATTGAGTTTGCACTGGGCCTCTGCAACTCCTTGAGCGCCTTCACCGCGGCATTGCCCTGGTCAGGGGTTCGGAGTTTAGGGTTTAGGGCTTAGGGCTGAGGGTTTAAGACTTCTTGGGAACAACCCAACCCCCACACCCCCTCCCACCAAAAAATGTCTGATGAAAACAACATGCCTACAAGGCCCATGTTGGGTTCTACCTTTTGGTGTTCTGCACCCTTGAAACTGACCCCCGATTTGGGATTTCATGCCCGCCCATGGGCTGCGAGTACCCCCCGACGTGCCTTTCTGGACACATTGCAAAAACGTTGCAGGGTTCGTTGTACTTTACATGAGACAATGGGGTGGGGGCACGCGCGAGAGAGAGAGAGAGAGAGAGAGAGAGAGAGAGAGAGAGAGAGAGAGTGCGCAGCCCCGCAAATCTAAAGAAGGGCGCGCTCCCCCCACGCGCGTGCGTGCGCACGCACACCCAGCCTACACCCTAAAACCCTAAAACCCCACGCCCCTAAACCCGGACACCTTAAAGCCGTAGACTAGACCTTTAAACCCAAAACCCTAAAACCCTAAACCCTGAGGAGCGGGCCTCCCCCGCATCGTGAACCGAAGGCCTTGCCTCGGATTAAAATGACTTTAATGCATGGGGGGGGGCTTCGGGTTCCAGAAATTTAGGGTTCAGGGTTTTGGGGGTTTATGAGTTTCGGGTTTGGGGGGATGAGGGTTTGGGGGTTTAGGGGTTTAGGGTTTAGGGTTTTGTGGGGCTTCGGGCTTAAGGGGTTTAGGGTTTAGGCTTCTGGGTTGGGGTTGTCGAGTTTAGGGCTTTGCGGGTTTCTGGGGGTTTGGGGGTTTTGGGGGTTTTTTGGGTTTCGGGTTTGGGAGTTTAGGGGTTTGGGGTTTGGGGGCTTTGGGGGGTTTGGGGTTTTGGGGTTTTTGGGGGGGGGGTTTGGGGGACTTTGTTGGGTTTAGGGGGTTTAGGGTTTTAGGGCTTTGGGGTTGAAGGATCTGAGTTTAAGGGGTTTGCGGGGCTACGGTTATACAGATTCTTGGCCATATCAGGGGTCCCCTATTGGGAAATGCCCATAATTCTCCCCTAAACCCTAAACCCTAAACCCTAAACCCTAAACCCTAAACCCTAAACCCTAAACCCTCAAGAAAGTAATAGATTAAACTTGGTTGGACTCGAAGAGTAACCTAAGAATGAAATGGCTGCCGTTTGTGGCTTCAAGGGGCTTATACTGGAACCTAAGCCCCAAAGAGAATAAGAGCCTGCTGCTGGGTCCCAGTAGCCCTAAACCCTAAACCCTAAACCCTACACCCTAAACCCTAAAAAAGAGAACACGGGCCTCCGGGTTTCGTACTCCTCTCGACAGCTAGGTTCCCTCAACGAGCTTAATGCTCGACTCTTCGCTGCGTTAGCTAAGCTGCCGGCTTCAGCGGCTTGAGGGTCTCAAGGGTTTGGACGATATTCTGGGGAGGTTTGGGAGGGGTAGGTGGCAAGCAGTGCTTTTCAGAGTAAGGTACCATGAAGGGACCCATTGCAGGGATGTGAAAGGTTCTTTGGGGAGTTTTCAGCCTTTCTGACATCTTTGAGGGGTTGGACCGCAAAAGCTTTGACTTTCCTAGTCTAGCTTTTTGGGGAAACCCCCTGAAACCAAAAAAAAACCACGCCTTGAACCCTGAACCCTAAACCCCAAACCCTAAACCCGAAGGTGGGGTGCAATGGCCGCAGAAGCCCCTTGGAGGCCCAAACCCCGACCCGAAGCATGAACCCTAAACCCTAAACCCTAAACCCTAAACCCTAAACCCTAAACCCTAAACCCTAAACCCTAAACCCGAAACCCCAAACCCAAGGGTGCAGCTTAGGCGCAAGGAAGGATTTCGTGATGCCCACCGTGGCCCAGTCGTTTCGCTTCCTGGCAGCTGGCCGGCAGTATGCTCGTGGCTTCTCTGCCGCAGTTTGCTTTCAGGGTTTGGGGTTCCTAAACCCTAAACCCTAAACCCTAAACCCTCAACCCTAAACCCTAAACCCTGAACGTGGGCTTCTTGAAAAAAATGGTTGCCTGCAGAGCCTTCTTGTGCAAGAAGTCTTGATGTTATGTAGATGGGCTTGTGCACCCTCTGGTGACATGTACTGATTGCACGTGTGCCCAAAGCGTCTTAGAGTTCACCTGGAAGCCGTGGCTGTTCAGAACTTCTTTTCTCTAAGCCATTAGCCCCTACAGCCTTAAGGCTGAGCCCCTAAAACCCGAAGCCCTAAAACCCTAAACCTCCAACCCTAAACCCTCAACCCTAAACCAAACCTCCAAAGCCCTAATCCCTCCCACAGCCCCTGAAACCCTACGCCCTAAAGCCTAAATCCCGAGCCCTAAGCCCTAAGCCCTCAACCCTAAGCCCTAAGACCTAAACCCTCTCACAAAGAGCGCTTTGCTTTAGGGTTCAGGGTTCAGGGTTACGGCTTAGGACCTGTGAGGTTCTGGTCCTTTGGGGGGGCTCCCTGAGCCTGTGGGGTCCCTGCCTCTAGAGGCCACCTGCCACTTCCCCGAACGACGACAGTGCTAAAGATTCCCGAAAGCCCTAAACCCTAAACCCTAAACCCTAAACCCTAAACCCTAAACCCTAAACCCTAAACCCTAAAGCACCTTCTTCCCCAAAGTCAGACCTGCGACACTCGGCCTGCTAGGCCTTTGCAACCATCCTCCCCACATATCTCCAGGGGGGGGGCTGACCTAAGTCATGTGCTCCTTGTTTCTATAGTACATCTGGGTTGAAGGTGTAGGGTTTAGGGTTTCCACTCCCCCTAAACCCTAAACCCTAAACCCTAAACCCTAAACCCTAAACCCTAAACCCTAAACCCTAAACCCCCGGCTTCGTGGAGACTCAGCTTTTCTCCGCAGGGCACCGCTACCGCCACTTGGCTCCTCAGAGTTCCGCGCGCGCTCGCCGTCGGAAGGGGTTCCTCAGGTTACCCATTCCGTTGGGCAGCTGCTTTCCGACTATGTTGGACATTCCTGAAATTCAAATTCTAGTGCGTTCTGCTAAATAAACAGGAAGGTATATATATATATATATGTGTGATGCTATACGCAAATCTACGAGGAACAATATACAAATATTCATAGACACACACATACATACATACATACATGCATATGTATGTATGTATGTACGTACGTACGTAGGTATGTATGTATGTATGTATGTATGTATGTATGTATAAGCACAAAAACCAAAAATTAAAACCTTGGGGTTTATCGCACTTGTGATGCCTGGTTCCTGTCACCCCTACTTACAACAAGCCCTCTGCCGTTTGTAGACCTACAAGCCTCCAACAAAAAACCTGAAACCTGAAACCCCCCCCCCCCCCCCCCCCCCCCCCCCCCCCCCCCCCCCCCCCCCCCGGTATGGGCTTCAAGTCTACCACTAAGGTCTGGGAACGGGGGGTCGAAAAACTGAGAGGTGTCCAGTACCCTGCCCCCAAAAAAGCTTAAGCTTTCATTTTTCGAGTCGGACTTAAGAATCTTTTAGGGTGTAGGGTTCGAGGGTTTAGGGTCTATCAGACCCAGAAAGCTGAAACTTCATCGGAGAGCCTTCAGGTGAGCAACCCTGAACTCTGAACGCACTGTTTACCTATTGCTTTGCTAAGATGAGGTGGGTCTGTTTGCTCTTACTGCCAGCCATCCTTTTAAAAGGACACCGAATATATAGACTGACCAATATCGAAAAAAGAACCGTCTAAAGACTTAGCAAAAAGACTAGTATCAACCTGGCCTTACATTCCGTAAGGCCCAAAGGTACAAGGTAGAACCCCTGACCTTTTTTCGAAGAGCCCTGCCCTATTACAGCATATTCCTTGTAGTTCAGGGCACCAAAGAGAGCCCACATTGTTAGATCACCCCTGTGTCAAGGTCAAGTGAGGATGCCCCAATCCCCACGGATTTAGCAATGCCTTGTCCCCCATCAACCCGAAGCCCTAAACCCAGGGCTTTCTGGGCTTCGCAACGTGTCTTTGAAGGGGCAAGTAAAGCCGAGTAAGAGGGAACATGTACGAGTAGGGGGGTGGCTTCCTGTGCTCCGCAACAGTTCTGCACTTCTCGTGGAGCCGCCTCAAACATTGCAATTGCTACTGGCACGTTCAAAGCTTCGCTGCACTTAGGAGGGTAGCTATAAATGAAATTTGTAGCTGCCTTACTAGCAAACCCAATAAACCCAAAAAGGCGAAGGATCTAAAGTTGCATCAAAGCACCACAAAGAAAGCAGAACAGCATCCAACCTCAAATTTCAACCCTATTCACCTCCTGCAAGAGGTACGTCCGACCTTAAACCCTACGCCCTGAGTTCAAGGCTAAACCCTAAACCCTAAACCCTAAACCCTAAACCCTAAACCCTAAACCCTAAACCCTAAACCCTAAACCCTAAGAACCAAGAACCAACAACCAACAGCCAAGGCTCTGGATCAGCTCCCCGGTCTCCTCGTCCAGGAAGTCCGCCCACGCAAGGTCGGGGTGAACGACCTCGGAAATCAGGGTTTAGGGTTTAGGGTTTAGGGTTTAGGGTTTAGGGTTTAGGGTTTAGGGTAACCTACTCGCAGGTTCATAAAACCCAATGTACTTATAGTCCAATTAGGGTTTAGGGTTTAGGGTTCAGGGTTCAGGGTTCATAGAACCCAATGATGACTGGGGTTTAGGGTTTACCTAGAACCCACGTTTAACCACATTAGGCACTTCAGGGCCTTATAGGCCTCAAACCGACAGCCCCTAAACGCTAAAGGTGGGAGCACTTGAGGTGTTGGGGCTTAGAGAGATTTATGGTTTAGCGTTCAGCACAGGGTTTGGAGAGTTTCAGAGTCCAACGTCTCAGAGAAACAGTTTTTGGCTGCCTTTTCGCGTGGTAAAACGCTCGGCCCCTGCATCATGGTTGCTGTGGGCCAACAGCTTATCCTGCTCACTAGCAAGACCGCGTCAAGGCAAACTTCAGCAAGTAGTCCGAAGGTACATCTGCTTCGCGCTCATTCTGGTCGGTGATGATGCGTGCTGCCTGAACTGTCAATTGTCAGGAACAGATCCTCTTGTGGGATGCTGCAAGGACTTCCTGATCGCTGCTGATGCGCCCGCGAGAGTTTTACCCCTGATGCTTTCTCCTCCTCGTACTCGTGAAGAAAAGGGTCCAATCTGTCCAGTGGCCGCCTTCAATCTTGAGCGCGACGGGCTTGCTCTACTTCTTGGTCGGGGCACGTGACGCGGCGACGAATGGCCCAGAAGCAATGTGCACACTGACTTCAGGCAACCCTGAACTCCCTAGACGCTCAACATGCTCGGATAGTGCCGGGCTCTGTCGCTCGGAACCCTGATACCCCAGCTCCCTGATCCTAGGGTGAGGAAGTAGGGAGTTAAGAATTTAGGGTCCCTTAACAGGACTACCTTAAACTTCCGAGGTACCCAGATGAGGGGTTACTCCCCCCCACCCCCCAGAAGAAAAAGGAACTGTAGCACTGGCCCGGGCCGTAAATCCCAAAGTCAAGACCCTAAACCCTAAACCCTAAACCCTAAACCGCCCTCAACCCGGGTTGCCCCTCACCAGGCTTGCCTGCATTGCAATGCGGACTCTAGCGGGGATCCCAATGGTATGTAGTTGTTCAAAGTTATGGCAGTCCCAGAAACAGCCATAAGGAGTCCTGGCGAGCCATCTACGTACGTACGTCGGCCAGGTTTGGTCTAGGGTTCGGGCTCAGGGCTTACTTGAAGGTTCATGGGCAGCTATAAGTCGGGTTAGAAGTACCCCACTTACAACTACCTAGGAACCTCCAAGTAGGGTTTAAGCTGCGTGCTTTCGGGTTGAGGCACCGCAAGGGCCCTGAAGGTAGCTCCTCCGTCCTAAAACCTGAAACCTTCAGCACAAGTAGGTCAAACCACCCCATCTTCAGAGCAACGCTGTCTGACATTCATAACTCCCCCACCTCCCCGGCCCCAACCCAAACTTGATCACAAGGACACCTGCACCCGAAACACCCTGAACACACCCTGAAAACAGCCTAAAGACACCCTAAACACCACCCAAGAGCACCCTAAAAACACCCTAGACGCCCGAGCAAATACTTTCAAACACCCAAAACACTCTAAAGCCACCCCAAAACACCCTAAGAACACCCTAAGAACACCCTAAGAACACCAGCCTAAACACATAAATAAATAAATATATATATATATATACATACACACACACACACACACACCCTAAACACACCCCAAGACACCCTAAACCCGAAACCGCAAACCCCAAACCCTAAACCCTGAACTCTAAACCCTGAACCCTAAACACACTCCAAAAGCACCCTAAACCCTAAACCCTAAACCCTAAACCCTGAACCCTGAACCCTGAACCCTGAACCCTGAACCCTGCACCCCAGCTGGCCTTCAACTCGAGGATGGTCCTGGGCAAGTCCTTTGGCCCGGACAGGATGTGGTGCGCGTAACCTGACAATGGGGGGTTCCGAAAGTTTAGGGTTTAGGGCTTAGGGTTTAGGGTTTAGGGTGTTTGATGCGGTGCACGTAGCCTGAAAGTGGGGGAGGGGGGGTTTCCGAAAGGGTGTTTCAAGGTGGTTTAGGGGTGGCTTTGCGAGAGGCCTGAAAGTTGGGGGGGGGGGGGGGGGGGGGGGGGGGGTTTCCGAAAGGGCGTTTTGGGTGGTTTTTTGGGGTGGTTTTTGTGGGGGTTTGAGGGTGTTGTGGGGTGGCTGAGGATGGTCTTAGTGAAGTTTAGTGGGTTTTGGGGTGCTTCAGGGGATCCCAAGACTGCCGGCAGTCAGCTTCTGTCTGAGCCGTATGGTGCAGGAGTTAGCGACTTGGCACGACCGTGACCGATCTGCTTAGAGTGTTTCGGGTGTGTAGGGCTTAGGGTTTTTTGGGGTTCTTATGATGAGGGTTGTAGAAATTTTGTATTATATTCAGGGGTGCCCCACTATTTGGGAAAATGCACACATCTCAGGGCACTCACAAGGAGGGTGATCGTAGTCTTCGCAGGAATATTGCAAGCAGCCATCGTCTCAAAAACGGGTGAGAATCGACACACAGAGTGGCTCACGTTATCGCAGTCGTGGCAAGAGCAGCAAGAGAAGCACGAACGCAGTATTACGATCGCAGGAAGATTCGTTCCTAACATCCAAATACTTCGTTTTCTCGAACTGGTGGTGCTTCGAAGCGCGATGAGCATCAGGCACCCCTGCACGCGAACGCAGCATTCAATGCACTAGGAGAGAGAGAGAGAGAGAGAGAGAGAGAGAGAGAGAGAGAGAGAGAGAGAGAGAGAGAGAGAGAGAGAGAGAGAGAGAGAGAGAGAGCGGGCCTACGGCACATGTTGACACGGAGGGGCGTGGTTGATGTTGACACGGAGGGGCGAAACCCGAAGTCCAAAAAAACACTGCAACTCCTGTTTTGCGATGCTACTCCTGTTTTGCGATGCTTTGGCGTAGCCTCAAGCAAGACAGGCCGCTGTCATCGACATAGTAGCACTTCCCCTCTCGCCAGGTGATGCTGGAATCTGCAATAAACCTGGGCTGTGGTTGCTTCCCATGCCTGCGGACAAATTTCTAGCTCTCATACGATCCTCAGAAAAAATCAGGGTAGGTATGATGCTCCGCATCTGAACTTCAGAGCCAATGCCAACACCTCTCCAGAGACGGTTCTGCCAGGCAGCATGGTGACGTTGCTGGGGTTCTCCACCCCACCTGACACTTCTGGAGGTTCATGGTACTGAATAACCCAATTATAACGGTAATCATGACCCAGTTATATCAATATAATATCCATATTAGGGCACTTAAGGGGCTTATAAGTGGGTTATAAGTACCGATTTTGTTTTGGTTACAAGGAACATGAACCTCCAAGTGTCCCAGGGGAACCTCTTTCAACTCCAAAAGTGCCATGCTACATTGGAACCCTGTTAAATGGGACACTCTTGGAGCAACCTGATAGTACAACTATTTTTTGGTTTTTGGCTTAAGAACCCCAAAAAGTAAAAGATAATACTGCCCTTATAGGAAGAGTATGAAAAAACACATTTCTTGTGGGGCAGGTGGGGTGGGGGGGCTTTAAATCGTAGGTTTTCAGAAAGAGACATGTAACTGAGTATTAAAACGCTAGTTAAAAATACGAAAAAGTCGTGTCTTGTGTGTAAATTTCGGGGTTGCACTGTGTCTTACTCTCTAGATGTTCGTGTCGGCTTGTTACAAGAATCGTTCCTGGTCGACCGCTGCAAGCCACTGCCACCATCTTGCAAAAGACAAACCAAAACATGCGGCCCCGGAGATCTGAAGGGTTTAGGGAGGTTTAGGGTTTAGGGTTTAGGGTTTAGGGTTTCGGGGAACAATCGGCGTCCAATCCACGGAATGGTACCCGACAAACCATCCCTTCAGCCCCCAAACCCCCCAACCCAACCCACCCCCCCCCCCCAACCCTAAACCCTAAACCCTAAACCCTAAACCCTAAACCCTAAACCCTAAACCCTAAACCCTAAACCCTAAACCCTAAACCCTAAACCCTAAACCCGCCCACCACCCCTCTCACTCTAGAGGTGAGTGGGCGCCGTCGAGCGCTCAGCGAGACCACGCAGGCCCGATCTAGGCTGATCGGGCCTGCAGGCACACCCCTGAAGGGGTCGCCAAGCTTGGTCGCCAAGCACAGTCCCTAGTATATTCTATTACCCCAAAACCGAGCCTTTGCTCGCGGGAGGTGTTTTGCTAACCTGGCCTGGGGCCCCCCTGGAGGCCTCCGGGGCCCCTCTGGGGGCGGTGCCGACTGCGGCCTTGTTCGCTGGACCAGAGGCCCTTTTTCGGGCTCAGCCTGGGCCACTGTTCTTCCGCATTTTTTGTCGTCGAGGTCCTAGGAGGCTCCAAGGAGGCCCTGGGAGGTCTTGGGAGGCCCCTGGGAGGCCCCTGGGAGGCCCCTGGGAGGGCTTTGGGAGGTCCTGGGAGGCTTCTGGGAGGCCCTGAGAGGAAAGTTTTTTGGGAGGCCCTGGGAGGGCCCTGAAAGGCCCCTGAAAGGGCTCCTGGGAGGCCCTGGGAGGCCCCTGGAAGGCCCCTGGGAGGCCCCTGGGAGGCCCCTGGGAGGCCTCCTGGGAGGCCCCTGAGAGGCCCCTGAAGCCCCTGCCCCTGGGACGTCTGGGAGGCCCCTGGGAGGCCCCTCAGAGGCCTCTGGGAGGCCCCTGGGAGGATTCTGGGAGGGCTGGGAGGCCCCTGGGAGGCTCCTGGGAGGTTTCTGGCAGCCCTCGGCCCCTAGCCCCTGGCCCCTGAAAAACCCTCGGAGGGCCCTGCCGCTGGGAGGCCCCTTGGGAGGCCCCTTGGGAAGGCCCTGCAAGGCCCCTGAAATGCTCTAAGAGGCCCCTAGGAGGCTCCAAGCCTGAGAAGGTTTTGAAAGGCCCTGGAACTCGCAAACTTCTAAACACACACCGGCATGGAGAATAGAAACAATGAGAAGGCCCTCCGGCCGAAGACGTCCCCCAGCGCAAAACCTGAATTTTCTCGCGGCAGGTGTTTCTAACTGGCCTGGGCCTTCCCTGGAGGCCTCCTTGGACCCTCTGGAGGGCCTCCCGACAGCGGCCGGCCCCTGAAAGGCTTTTAGGAGGCCCTGGAAGGGTTCTGGGAGGTTGAAAGCCCTCAAGGCTCTCCGAAGTTTTGGAGCCAGGTTCTGGGAGGCCCCTGCGCAAAACCTGAATTTTTCTTCTAGACGCACCCCGGCATAGAGAATAGAAACAATGAGAAGGCCCTCCGGCCGAAGACGTCCCCCAGCGCAAGACCTGAATTTTTCTATCGCAAACTTCTAGACACACACACCGGCATAGGATTAGAAACGATGAGAAGGCCCTCCGGCCGAAGACGTCCCCCTGCGCAAAACCTGATTTTCTCCTGCAAATTTCTAAAGAATACAAACAATGAGAGGCTCTCCGGCCGAAGACGTCCCCCAGCGCAAAACCTGAATTTTTCTATCGCAAATTTCTAGAGACACGCCGGCATAGAGAATAGAAACAATGAGAAGGCCATCCGGCCGAAGACGTCCCCCAGCGCAAAACCTGTTTTTTTGCTACAAGTTTCTTGACGTGACTTTCACAAGGCACCCTTCTAGCAACAGGTCTTTCGCCAAGCAGCCTTGACATTCCGGCATAGCCTTCCGGCCGAAGACGTCCCCCAGCGCAAAACCTGAATTTTTCTCTCGCAAACTTCTAGACACACACCGGCATAGAGAATAGAAACAATGAGAAGGCCCTCCGGCCGAAGACGTCCCCCAGCGCAAAACCTGAATTTTCTCTCGCAAGCTTTTAGACATACCTTTCACAAGGCATCTTCCTAGCAGCAAGTCTTTCGCCATGCAGCCTTGACACTCCAACATAGGGAACAGAAACAATGAGAAGGCCCTCCGGCCGAAGATGTCCCCTGCGCAAAACCTGAATTTTCTCCTGCAAGCTTCAGGCATGACTTCCATAAGGCTCCTTTCTAGCAACAGGAGGTTCTATTTCCAAGGCAGCTTCTTAAATGTTACCATGCAGCAAGGCATCTTTATAGCAAATTGACATCAAGACACATATTGGATGCTGGACCGAAGTACAACATTGAGTGCAGAAGTGTTTGAATGTGGGCTGGCTTTAATTCGGCTGGCTCTGGTTTGTTTCGCTGCAAGTAGTGTTTGGGTGGCCTTTGGGGTGGGCATGTCTACACACAATTGCGTACAGCTGACCCGTGCTACACCCTAAACCCTAAACCCTAAACCCTAAACCCTAAACCCTAAACCCTAAACCCTAAACCCTAAACCCTAAACCCTAACCCCCCCCCCCCCCAAACCCCCAAAATCCCCAAAATCCACGAAAGGCGCAGTGGATCTTGATGCGCTGGTTGGTGCTGGCCGTGTGCCTCAGCGGACAATCGCCCAAGGAACAAGGAACCGCATACATGAATCTTGCAACAAGAAATCTTACCCTAAAGCCTAAACCCTAATTCCTAAACCCTAAACACTAAACCCGAAACCCTAAACCCCAAAGCCCACACCCTAAACTCGCCGGCAGCCAGCAACTCCATGACTTGTGACAAGCAGCAGCAAGAACTTTCCAAAGATCGTTGTTGCGAATCAATACCCCTAAAAAAGGGCACACGCCTGGAACTGTGCGAACTAAGGTGTGTGTTCAGGGCTCCTTAAGTTAGGTAGCTGGAAAGGGAAAAACTTCAAGGGCCGCTGGGTAGGATACGGTATAGGGTTTAGGCTTTAGGCTTTAGGGCTCAGAACAGGACGCAACAAGCTCTGCCTGCTAAGTGGTGGTGCCCGGGTGCAGGGCATTCTGCATGACTAGTCCCACTACAGTGCGCTCTTGTATTGTACTTTTAAATAGTAGGGAGAGGGTAGGGGGGAGGGGCTGAACCCTTCTACTTTTCAATAGTGGGGGGAGGGTAAGGGGGAGGGGCTTAACCCCCAGATTGCAACCACAAGGGTCTCATGACGAGTTTCTCGGCCACCCGCGTGCCGGGATGCATCCTCGCGAAGCGCGCCTGCGATTAGCCATGGCTGCAATCTTTTGATGACTTGGGGGTTTGCGAAATTCGGGGGTACCTTATTGAGGTCCTTATTCACAAGGGAATTCTACTGGGGGACTATATTCGGGGTCCCTTATCTTCGTACACTCCCACTTCTGGCAAGGGCCAGTACGTTGGCTTGAAAAGTCGATCTGGACGTGGTACTGGTGAATGACGTTTCGCATCCCTAAACCCTAAACCCTAGGCCCTAAACCCTAAAGTAACAAGTTTGAGAGGACTTCAACCTTCACGATCGGACATGACACCATGAGCCCTAAACCTTCAACCTGTCTAACCAAGAGTGCATCAACTTTAGAAGGCGCACACGCCTCACGTCAAACTAGCAGAATCATCGCAATTGCCCTAAACCCTAAACCCTAAACCCCAAACCCCAAACTCTAAACCCTAAACCCCAAACCGTTTGCCTGCGTGATCCCGCGCCGCACAGGTAAGGCCTTCCGGATGGCCTCCACTTATCATGGGGGGCATGTTTGGGGGCCCTGCATTATTACTTTGCTGTAAGGGATCATATAGGGGATTAAGGGTGATGACTTTATTTTGGCTGTATAAGGATTATAAAGGGGATTAAGGGTAATAACCTATTCTGGGGGCAGGTTTGGGAGCCCTATGTAAAAACATAGATTTCATGGCTTTGCAAGGGTTGTATAGGGGATTGAGGGTATTAAAAGTGTAAATCATTACTCTTTTGTATGGCTGTATAGGGATTATATAGGGGATTAAGGGTGATAACCTATTATGGGCCCTGTAAGAATTAAAGTTTTATGGGTTTGTACGGACTACATTAGGGGATTAAGGGTAGTAAAAGTGCCAAGTTACATGTCGTGGGTGCTTCAGAGGGGCAGTGGGTGAGTGAATGATTAAGGGTTTTAAGGGTGTTAAGGGCTTTTTTGGGGTTTTAAGGGCTTGAAGGGTTTAGGGAGTAAGGGGAGTGAGTGTGCAAACTGGATAGAGGACTCTGCGCTTCAGACTCTCAAGTTTTGAAAGAACCAGTACGTCCTGGTTTGCAGGAATCTGCTCCGACTGGCCACAGCTCTCCGTCTCCGACGCCACCGCTATTGAAAAAAGGTTCCTATGACTACTATTTGCTGAAGGAGCCCCCCTCCCCCCGCCGCCCCCCCCTAAATCATGTAGGGAACGCTGTATTTGTTATTTTCTAGGGGTTCTTAAGCAAATAGTAGATTCGGAGTTCTGGGGCGAATCCTGATCTGGGCTGGGGGCTAACGTACGTGGGCTCAGGTGGACTGGATCTCCAGTCCGTAGCGCCCACCTGCACCCGAGGAAGCGAGGGTTGCCCTGAAAATAGGCCTCTCTCCCCACCTCCGACCCCATTTAGAGAACTAGCGTAAATGGCAGAATTTTGAAGATAGATTCCAGAAGAACCATTAACAAAAACACCACGAAGAAAACCCGAACACTTGAACCCCTAAACCCCAAACCCTAAAAGGCCCCACTCTCTCCCTGGTGCCTGCAGTAGCTTGCAGAAGCTGGGATAGAGCTGCGCCTGGACAGGCGGGCAAGCGCCCAATTCCAGCCCACCCATAAGCCTTAAAGCTTTTTGGCCTTTTATTTGCCTTATAAAAAACCCGAAGCCCTAAACCCTGAAGCACTTTAAACACCCTGGCCAGCCCTACACCCTAAACCCCAACCTAAACCTTCAACCGAAAACCCTCGATCTAGAAGCCCTGAGCCACAAAAGGTCACCTTAGACTTCCTAAGCCCTTAACGCCCAAAGCCTTAACCATAGTTGCCGGAAGCCTCGAACCTTTGCTGGGGGCCAAGCGCTTCTGTAGCTTGTACTTGGAGGTTCATGGTACTTAATAACCCAATTAGAACTGTAAATATGACCATATTAGGGCACTTTAGGGGCTTATACATGGGTTCCAAGTGCAGCTATACTTGGGTTATGAGTACCATGAACCTACAGGGCTTAAGGTTTAGGACTTCAGGCCATGACAAGTCGTTGGGTTTAAGGTGTACTTGGGTAGGTTTGGGGGCCCTATAAACACCATTTTTTGCCATATATTATGGCTTTATACGGATTATGTAGGGGGATGAGAGGTAATAGAAATGAGAAGTTCTATTCAAACCTAGCCCTGTGTAGGGAAACCCGAAACCCACGCATTTGCAACGCAACTTGCTGTGAGGCTGCCTGGCACTTCTGGTGGGAGATATGCGCGGTTTCCCACATCCCAGTCAGATGTAGACCTCTGGGGTTTGTGGTTTCAGGTTTAGGTTTTGCCCCTGAGTGAGCAAGGGGCTTGTAAAAGGACCATTGGCGTTTGTCCTGCATCTGAAGTAGACCGAGGCAGGGCGTTTTTCAAATTAGGGCTTTTTTCCCCTAATATGCCACCAAATACCATCAACATACTACGATATCCTAGGACCGCAAAACAAGACGTCCCTATCTCAGGAAACCCGAGCTCACACTTGAGGGAAGCGGCGACAGACGCAGGAAAGCCGGGTAGAGGGTTTAGGGCCATTAGGGGTTCTCGGGGGGTTCAGGGGTTTAGGGTTGTCTTGAGCAATTAGCTCCGCGGGCCCTGAGTATGGGCCATGAGGTCGGGAGCAATTATGATTGAAGCCTCGAAGAGGACCATATGTAGGGCCTGTCAGCAATACAGGAGCAATGTTATCCCCTTGTAACCCTACATATATACATATAAACATACATACATGTTTCATGCATACTCACACACATTTATAGGGAGAGAGAGAGAGGGAGAGAAAACAAACAAACAGGTAGAAATACCCATTCTGCATGCCCCTATGCTACCCACAGACAAAAGGAACCGAGTAGGCCTCTGCCTGATGGTTCGGCAGGTCATTGTCCCGGGCAAGGAATCGCTCGATAATGTGATATGCCCCTACAGAAGCCATAGCCAAACTCCTCTTTCGAAACAAGTTAAGTACACTACTCTGAAATTTTTTGGGTTTGAGAAGAAGGCACAAACACCACATACTTTCATTCCTAAGGAGACTACACAAGCAAAAGCAAGCAACACATTTCCAAATGCGACTAAGAAAGTAAAAGATGCAACTCCTACAGACTAGAGATAACAGATTTGGGGGCTGCGCTCGTTACTTTGTAAACGAAACTCAATGCCCTAAACGCAGCCCCTTGAGGGTTGAGGGTGTTTGGGGTTTCGGATTTATTGTGCCTAGGGTGCTTAGGATTTAGGATTCAGGGTGCTTAGGGCTTAGGGTTCTTGCAGCCTCTAGCGAAGCTTGGTTTGGGACCGTCGCTGCGAATGTTGTGGTCTCCCAGTGGCCTTCGCCGTGCTCAGTGAAGCGCCTGTGAGCGCGGGCTTCTTTGAAGGCCGGCAGCAACACCTCCTGCAGAGGCTGAGGGTTTAGGGTTTAGGGTATAGGGTCTAGGGTTTGAAGGCCGCCGGCAACACCTCCTCTGGCTGGCTCTTCGTAGGGAGTGAGGGAATGAGGTACCTATAAAATCCCTTAAACAGGTATATCTAGGGCCCCTCATTACCTCATTCTCTACTAAGAACCAGGGGGTCCTGCAGAGGCTGAGGGTACGTGTTCTTCTTCTTTGGTGCTTCTCAGCAAGTGCTTTGCGACCACAGACACCCCCAGAACGTGGAGTTTGCAAGTCGCGTCGCAACTTGCTCTGGTGCTTTGGAATCTGCGACTCTTGGCTCCCCGCCCGGAGAGTCCCTAAATCCTAGGTTTAGGGTTTAAGGTTTAAGGTTTAGGGTTTAGGGTTTAGGGTGCCTGAACTCGAAACTTCAAGCCCCGTTGAAGACCTTTCCAAACTTCTGAGAGGGTTTACGATGCTTTCAAACGCTTCGGATTGTACCAGGTTTTTCGAAAGAAAAAGGCCACCAGAACTCACGAAAGGGTCTTAGGGCTTCATAGGGCTCATGGGGGGGGCTTATTGGGCTGACGATTTAGACGATTTAGACGATACTTTTTTAAAACAAAAGAAAGGATCTTTGGAAGCAAAGTGCTCCCTAAGAGAATCAGAATGGGGGTCTTCAGAATTCGAATGGGCTTTTGGGGGGCGATTATAGTATCGTTACATAGGGAGCACGAGGGAATACGGTTCGAACATCTTCCGACCCCTGTATGACAGTCGGGAGAACCCTAAACCCTACACCCAGAGCTGCTGGCGAGGCGCAGAGAAGTTGCCTTCGAGCCACTGGATGGCCGAGCGCATGCCTGGCGAAGCGGGTGAAGGCCTCCCCCCAAAACACCCTAAGACTCCTCATTTCAGGAACATGCCAGAATTCATGAAACAAAATATCTTTGTGTAGCTCAAGGCAACTTCTGCCCAGGGGCTATTGGTCCATGGGTGTGCTGCTTAGGTTTGGCCGGGGAGGCGGGGGAGGGGGGGGGGGTGTGGGTGGCTTAAATAGGGTTTATTTGGAAGCTGAGAGTCGTGTTTTTGCGTGGTAGATACAAAGGAAAGGGCATAAGAAAGTAGCGAAAGGAGCTCCTCAATTCCCTTCCTTATCTCCTATCCTCTTTTCTTTACAGGAGAATACAGGAAAAGGGCCTCCATTCCCCTCTTGTTCTTCCTTTCTTGTGTTTTTGTCATTTAAAGGGGAACAGGAGAAGAGAAGGGAAAGAGAAGGAGAGAGCAGAGATAAAAGGAACACAGTTTTAATGGGAAGAGCCAAGAAAAGAATAGAAGAGAGATGAACAAAGAAGATGGAGAGACAAAACAAGGCGCAAAGAAGATGGCACTCTTCTTTATCTATCCTCTCTCCCTTCCCTCTCCCTTCCCTCTTTCTTTTCGAAACAGAAAAACTAAAAAGGAAGAACTTGAAAAGGAGAAGGGTAAGGAAAAGAGCAGAAGAGACAGGCCGAAAAGAGGGATATGATGACGTATGGGCAAGGTCCACGCGCAAGGAGTCACCCTCTGCTTACCCTTCCACTGCTTTATCATACAAGTTCCTTTCTTGTGTTATATTAGTTAAAAGGTAACAGAAGGAGAGAAGGGCAAGGGAAGTGAGAGAGGAGAGACAACAGGGAGGCCATTTGAATTTTCTGGAGGGGTACTGAAAAGAAGAGAAGACACAATAAACAAGGAGACGGATAGCACTCTTCTTTATCTATCATCTCTCCCTTCCTTGTCTCTCGCTTTTCCCTCTATAATTAAAACAATAGGTGCCCTCTCTCCTCTTCAGGAAGCCCCCTTGCCCTTATTTTGCTAGCTTTCTGAAACGACAAGGAAAACAACACATAGAAAGAGAGGAAAGGGAATGAAACAATAGGCAGTGGAGCTCTTCAGTGTCTTTACCTATCTCTTTTCTTCTTTTTCTTTTTAATTCAATAAGGAAAAGAAGCTTCCTTTGGTGTGATTTTGAGATTCAAAAGAGAACAAGAGAAGAGAAGGGAGAGAGAAAGGAGAGAGGAGAGATCAAAAGGAAACAATTTTCATGGGAAGAGCAATGAAAATCATGGAAGAGAAATGAAGACAGGAGAGGGAGGTGCAAAATCAGGCAAAGAGAAGATGGTGCTCGTTTTCTTCTATCCTCTCTTTCTTATCTTTCCCTTTCAAATAAAAACAAAAGGAAGAACAATGAACATGTAAAGGAACCCGTTTTCTTTTTCCTTTTGGGAACAAGGAAAAGAACAGAGGCGATAGGGCGAGAGGAGGGATTTGCTGCAGCATGGGGAGGGTCTACGGACAAGGAGCCAACCCCGCTCGCTTTCCCCATCCATTGGAAAAGAAAGGAACGTGGCCTCCATTCCCCACTTGTTCTTCCTTTCTTGCGCTTTTGTCATTTAAAGGGGAACAGGAGAAGAGAAGGGAGAGAGAAGGAGAGAGGAGAGACAAAAGGATTGCATTGTTAATGGGAAGAGCAAAGAAAAGAATAGAAGAGAGATGAATAGAGAAGTGGGAGAGACAAAACAAGGCGCAGAGAAGATGGCACTCTTCTTTATCTATCCTCTCTCCCTTCTCTCTCCCTTCCCTCTTTCTTTTCGAAATAAGAAAACAAAAAGGAAGAACTATGAGAAGGAGCAGGGTAAGGAAAGGAACAGAAGAGATAGGCCGAGAGGAGGGGTATGATGAAGTATGGACCGGTCCACGCGCCAGGAGTCACCCTCTGCTTACCCTTCCACTGCCTTATCACACAAGTTCCTTTCTTGTGGTTTATCAGTCAAAAGGAAACAGAAGGAGAGAAGGGAAAGAGAAGTGAGACGAGATAACAAGGATGCCATTTTGCTGGAAGCGCAACTGTATGTGGCCACAACAAGCAGGCCAAGGAGGCTCAGGCGGGGCAAGTCTCTCCCTAATTAGAAAAATCAATCTTGCTATTCACAGGTAGGCGCCCTTCTTCCTCTTCAGGAAATCGCCTTTCCCTTATTTTGCTTTTTGAAGCGAATAAGACAAACAACAGATAAGAAGAGAGGACAGGGAATGACTAGGTAAAGAGAGGAGCTCTTCGATTTCCCTATCTCTTAAGTTATTTTTCCTTCTTGGGCGGGTGTCCTTTTTTCTTCCTTGAAGATGCAGAAAACTAGCAAAAAGGACACCCGATCGCCCATTTTCTTTTCAATTCCCTTCCTTATCTCCTATGCTCTTTTCCTTATTCATTGCAACAGGAGAATACCGGAAAAGGGCCTCCATTCCCCTCTTCTTCCTTTCTTGTGTTTTTGTCATTTAAAGGGGAACAGGAGAAGACAAGGAAAGGAAGGAGAGAGGAGAGATAAAAGGAACACAATTCTAATGGGAAGAGCCAAGAAAAGAATAGAAGAGAGATGAACAAAGAAGATGGAGAGACAAAACAAGGCGCAAAGAAGATGGCACTCTTCTTTATCTATCCTCTCGCCCTTCTCTCTCCCTTCCCTCTTTCTTTTCGAAACAGAAAAACTAAATTGGAAGAACTTGAAAAGGAGAAGGGTAAGGAAAAGAGCAGAAGAGACAGGCCGAAAAGGGGAATATGATGAACTGAAAAGAAGAGAAGACACAAGAAACAAGGAGACGGATAGCACTCTTCTTTATCTATCATCTCTCCCTTCCTTGTCTCTCGCTTTCCCCTCTACAATTAAAAAAATAGGTGCCCTCTCTCCTCTTCAGGAAGCCCCCTTGCCCTTATTTTGCTAGCTTTCTGAAACGACAAGGAAACAACACATAGAAAGAGAGGAAAGGGAATGAAACAATAGGCAGTGGAGCTCTTCCGTGTCTTTACCCATCTCTTTTCTTGTTTTTCTTTTTCATTCAATAAGGAAAAGAAGCTTCCTTTGGTGTGATTTTGAGATTCAAAAGAGAACAAGAGAAGAGAAGGGAGAGAGAAAGGAGAGAGGAGAGATCAAAAGGAAGCAATTTTCATGGGAAAAGCAATGAAAATCATGGAGGAGAAATGAAGACAGGAGACCGGGATCCCCTTGGCACCCTGCAAAAGTCCTGCAAATACCACACAAAACGGAAAAGGGTAGGAACAACATTTGCGGGTCAAAATTTGCCGGGATCCCCTTGGCACCCTGCAAAAGTCCTGCAAATACCACACAAAACGGAAAAGGGTAGGAACAACATTTGCGGGTCAAAATTTGCCGGGATCCCCATGGCACCCTGCAAAAGTCCTGCAAATACCACACAAAACGGAAAAGGGTAGGAACAAGATTTGCGGGTCAAAATTTGCCGGGATCCCCTTGGCACCCTGCAAAAGTCCTGCAAATGCCACACAAAACGGAAAAGGGTAGGAACAACATTTGCGGGTCAAAATTTGCCGGGATCCCCTTGGCACCCTGCAAAAGTCCTGCAAATCCCACACCAAACGGAAAAGGGTAGGAACAACATTTGCGGGTCAAAATTTGCCGGGATCTTCTTGGCACCCTGCAAAAGTCCTGCAAATACCACACAAAACGGAAAAGGGTAGGAACAACATTTGCGGGTCAAAATTTGCCGGGATCCCCTTGGCACCCTGCAAAAAGTCCTGCAAATGCCACACAAATCGGAAAAGGGTAGGAACAACATTTGCGGGTCAAAATTTGCCGGGATTCCCTTGGCACCCTGCAAAAGTCCTGCAAATACCACACAAAACGGAAAAGGGTAGGAACAACATTTGCGGGTCAAAATTTGCCGGGCTCCCCTTGGCACCCTGCAAAAGTCCTGCAAATGCCACACAAAACGGAAAAGGGTAGGAACAACACTTGCGGGTCAAAATTTGCCGGGATCCCCTTGGCACCCTGCGAAAGCCCTGCAAATGCCACACAAATCGGAATAGTGTAGGAACAACATTTGCGGGTCAAAATTTGCCGGGATTCCCTTGGCACCCTGCAAAAGTCCTGCAAATACCACACAAAACGAAAAAGGGTAGGAACAACATTTGCGGGTCTAAATTTGCCGGGTACCCTTGGCACCCTGCAAAAGTCCTGCAAATGCCACACAAAACGGAAAAGGGTAGGAACAACATTTGCGGGTCAAAATTTGCCGGGATCCCCTTGGCACCCTGCAAAAGTCCTGCAAATACCACACAAAACGGAAAAGGGTAGGAACAACATTTGCGGGTCAAAATTTGCCGGGATCCCCTTGGCACCCTGCAAAAGTCCTGCAAATGCCACACAAATCGGAAAAGGGTAGGAACAACATTTGCGGGTCAAAATTTGCCGGGATTCCCTTGGCACCCTGCAAAAGTCCTGCAAATACCACACAAAACGGAAAAGGGTAGGAACAACATTTGCGGGTCAAAATTTGCCGGGATCCCCTTGGCACCCTGCAAAAGTCCTGCAAATGCCACACAAACGGGAATAGGGTAGGAACAACATTTGCGGGTCAAAATTTGCCGGGATCCCCTTGGCACCCTGCGAAAGCCCTGCAAATGCCACACAAATCGGAATAGTGTAGGAACAACATTTGCAGGTCAAAATTTGCCGGGATTCCCTTGGCACCCTGCAAAAGTCCTGCAAATGCCACACAAATCGGAAAAGGGTAGGAACAACATTTGCGGGTCAAAATTTGCCGGGATCCCCTTGGCACCCTGCAAAAGTCCTGCAAATACCACACAAAACGGAAAAGGGTAGGAACAACACTTGCGGGTCAAAATTTGCCGGGATCCCCTTGGCACCCTGCAAAAGTCCTGCAAATACCACACAAAACGGAAAAGGGTAGGAACAACATTTGCGGGTCAAAATTTGCCGGGATCCCCTTGGCACCCTGCAAAAGTCCTGCAAATACCACACAAAACGAAAAAGTGTAGGAACAACATTTG